AATGGGGAATATGTCAAAGAGACAAAAAACCGACCAAAGAGCAGACAACAGCTGAAGGCCACCAATGTGTCTTCAACGCAGCGAGAAAATCCCGCACCCGGAGGTGTTCCTCAGCTGACCCCTAAATAAAACTGTGTACTAGTTCAGTGAAAATGGACGTCATACTAAACTCCAAAACATATAAATGAACTAAAATTAAAAAACATACAAGACTAACAAAGGCCAGAGGCTCCTGACTTGGGACAGGCGCAAAAATGCGGCGGGGTTAAACATGTTTTGTGAGATCTCAACCCTCCCCCTATACCTCTAGCCAATGTAGTCTCTATTGACTCAACGAGATTGATATACTTATTCATAAAAAAATCAAAATTGGACAAAAAGAGTACTTGAATTGTTTAAGAACCACTGTCAACTAGTAGACATCTGGACGAGGAAAAAAAATACAGGTGAAGGAAATATAGTTACTTTTTACTCATTGATTCTTATTGAAATCTTCATAAATTAATGGCTTATAAAACAACGGAAATAATATGGACAGTTTCTGAAACCAGATACTCCCTAATATTTGAAAAAAATATTGATTGAAGGTGAAGAAAAACTTGCATCTCATTTATCAGCAATGTAAATCTGTATGACTATAAGGAGTTATAATATATGGCAATGAGACGGCAATTCGAAGACAAAAAGAAATCAAATACATAAAAAGTCAACATACGGTCTTCAACAATTATAGATAAGCGTCTTTACAGTATGTCAAGCTCTTGACTAGATCGCCATAAGTCTAGAAGTGGTATGAATAGATTTAACCGAGACTTCACTATGTATCAAGGTTTGAAATCAACACAAATGACAAAAACAATAAGATATACTAAAGACAACCTCTAACAAGGGTTATAACTTAAGATGTGCACATGAACTTTTGACGGGGTTCAACATGTTCTCAAACCCTTATCGTTTCATCTTGACCAGTGGAACAACAAAGTTAAATGATATAGAAACAAATGTGCGATGAGAATAAGTACAGGAAAAACAATTAGCCTTGTGAAAACAAGCACAAGTAAATTACTATGATAAGAACAGTACTATATTTTGAAAGATAGTAGTTTCTGTATCAAGCATATAATACTTAATATACTTGTACGGAATCATGTCGTAAACACTTTAATAGAGACGACTGTACCACCTAATAGATTTCAGACAACAACGTCATAAAAAGGAAAGAAAGGCACGATATATGGCGATAATTTAATTTTGGATGTAACACGTCTTCTGATTGACTGAAAGTTTTTTGGAAATCAGCTCATAGACATAATTTTGTATGGTGACCGTGACGTCATCAACGTTTTTTTTCATAATTTACTCCTTAAAAATGAAATTTAGAATTAAATTATAAGGAATGACTGTAATATTTTTTCTGTCAATTCCAAATAACCTAAAAAAATGTATTGCACACTTTCAAATAACCCGCTTCGCGTGTTATTTAGTGTGCACCACATTTTTGATGTTATTTCTACATAGACATAAAAAAAATATTACATTAATTCCTTAAATATCCAGAGTAAATCTGTGAAAAAATTTCAATGCGTCCGATGCGCTTTTCTGATTAACCTTCATGAAGATGGCTTAAATCCAAAAGCCAATAATGTTTAAGTATGACCAAGAGATATCTGTAAATTATCAAATTCGTATAAATCCATTAAACACAAGACGCAACAAATAACCTATATCAATAAATAATTTGGAATACTAGGAAGTAAATGTTACAGTAATTAAGGTTAGGTTAATATAAGTATATACTATACATATATTTTAACATGCTGACATAGAAAATAGATACAGCATGATCAAGTATACATCATTTGTAAAAATCATTGTATCATTATTTTTGACAGACAGTGATTATTTCAACAGAGTAGGAGGTCAGCATCAATTGGTAATTCTTCTACAACCAATTTTTCAAGACAAGTAGTGTACTTTACCGACACTGTTAATTACTTTGTAGATCTATTTCAGTCAAGCATCTTAACAAATGTTACCATTTCTAATCAACCCATGTTGTGGTTGCATTAATATTGTAATTTATAACCTCCTTTCAAATATAAGATATTCGGGTCAATACTGCTGCTTTCGCGAGTTTTTTTGTGTGCACTTCTATGCAGAACCGCGTTGTATTCTAAAGCTAAGTAATGTTGTAGCGAATGGATTAAAGAGAGATTCAACGAGTCATTTAAACGAGATAGACTTTTAGAAATCAACATGAAGCCTTAAATTAATAGTGCATGGTTTATGGCGCCCTGAGTCTAGAGAAAGTTAATCTTGTTAAATTTGGTTGCCCGATCGGTCGAGCCAAGTCGAGCGTGGGAGCTTTGAGAGAAAGTGAGAATAAATTAAGTATAGAAAACCAGACATATGCAAACAAATACAAATAAGATTCGAACAAAGACAACTACATACACTAGTGTGGTACCTGTTTGTTGCTCCTTAAAAGTAAAAATAAATTGTCGAAGAAAAGACTGCAGGTATTGTAATGGAATATATCTTTTGTAATTTGCGACACAGAAATTACATAATGGTCAGCCCTTTTACAGTAGTCTATGTAAGAAGCGACTCTCTCTCAGAAAAATCATGATAGGAAACGCAAGCTCAGATAAGTCGTATCCACATGATGATATCTACTTCATATGTGGATGATTCCTAAAATGGCAAGAACTGAATTATATGTCAACATATATACACTTTTCACCGCGTAAAACCGATAGATTGCTATAGCGAAGAGCAAAACGCTTTCACCGCACGTGGTCCTTCTATGGGAGCTTGAAGCAGAGAGAGTATGTACACAATTCTTGCAACAACTCTTTGTGCAACCTTAGGTGGCCTATTACATTGCCAACTTTCTGTCTTCATCAGTGTTACATTTCTCTTTCCAGTAGCAGTCCATATTTTCTTCAATTACAGTCAACCCACTTTGCAATACCTGTTTTCTTGGTGTATTGTTTAATTTGTCCTCGCAATGACCATGCATGAAATATTGGCCACTGGAATATATGCAAACGACAATTTTTTTACATCTTAACTCACCGGTCATTTGTTTTTTTAATTGACGCAAAAAGGGAAGAGAAGAGGACACTAAGAATTAATTCCGGAACAATAACTTTGTAAAAATATAGATACGGTACAAACGTGCAACATTTTTTCTATCTGCTAGAAGTAAATAATTTCTTTTGTTTATTCTAATTAAGATAAAATATGTCCTGTACCTGCACGTGACCAATAGTTGCTTACTTCTACGTCATTTGGTCTCTGGTGGAGAGTTGTCTCTTGGCAATCATACCACATCTTCTTATCTTTATATCATATTCTATGTTTTGGTAAAATAGCCCCATAACAAAATTGCAAAAATAAGTAATAGCTTAGAACAAAAGTGATAGGATACATTTTGTGCAACCTTAAAGATGATGTGGTGCACACTGAATAACCCGCGTAGCATTATATTTAAAAGTGTGCACCACATTTTTGAGGTTATTTCGAATAGACAGAAAAAAAATATTACAGTCATTCCTTATGATTTAATTCCAAATTTCATTTTTAAGGAGTAAATCATGAAAAAACGTTGATGACGTCACGGTCACAAGAAAAAGTTATGTCTATGAGCTGATAGACAAAAAACTTTCAGCCTATCAGAAGACATGTTACATCCGATATTAAATTATATGTTACTGTATGTTTAAAAGTCGAATAGTTGATATTGTAGTGTAAGATGGTATGATTCCTATACCAGACCAGGTGATATAATTTGGTGGACAAATTGAATAACACATAGCTGAGAACATTGTTCTACAATGAAACCGTTATGTTGACCTCTGGGTGTCTTCATGTAGCTGCTGTTGGATTGGTGTCTCATCTTTTAGTTTTAGTTCATATCAATGTTTCAAATATGAAACTACACTTTCTTTTCTTTTCTTTTCTTGTTTTTAGGGGGGTATTTTTTTCCTTCAATTTGTTAACTGATATAAATTCAAATCTATAGTTTGTTTAAGTGTGTCTGTCTCTGGAATGGAGGTTTACCGTTTGATTTGTATAGGAATTATATGTACAAATCTTAATCTGGTTCTTCACTGTTGAACTTAACTGAATAAATATTAAGCATTAACGAAAACATCATACAACTTGTTTTAATGGCAAGGTGTTTGAACTTCTTGAGTGCATTGTAGAACGCAACGAATCTTATTCAAACATGATTTCATGCTTGTAACAAGAGAGAGAATACCTAAGTGGAAATCGAAAAACATATGTCCAATATTAACCGACAATACAATGAACAGAAATAAAAACAATGAAAAGGCGAACAACAAAACTTTACGAAGAAAACCAAAGATTGAGCGATACTAACCCCGCCAAAAAGTGGCGTGAACTCGGGCGACCCGGAGGCAGTCAGTTCCTACTCAAATGTGATACACGCCATATTACTCCAGCTAGAAAAATCCGGTGTTATGTTGCATGTGGTAATGTTACAATCTAGGGGAATGGACGGGATTGTTGTAACGACAAGAGGAATAATTCCGTGGTTTTTGTGACACAAGTATTCCATGACGATCAAATAAATCATGATGGCGTCCGCCACATTTTCGTAAAAGAGTAGAATGAGACTGACTGCATGGAAGTTGATTTATCTAATAAAAGCTAATTAAAAGGCAGAACATATTGAATGGAAATAAAAAATCTACGAACGCGACAAATCAAAAACTGCGATATGTGTGTACGAATAAACCAGAAAAAAAACAACTGTAAAGATGAGTAATACGAACTTCCAAAACCGATGGTGATATCAACTTATCTGAAAAGGGTTAGCATACTTATCCTGGTTTGTCTACAAAATCCTTCGTATTGACAAGTGATTGAATCAACAACAAAACGATTGTGATATCTCATTGACGTTCGACCAATATTGATAAACTTTTATCATGTTTTTTAACTAAAAAAAATGACAAAAAAACGAGAGTTTCAAAAATATTTTTTTTATATAAACATATACACAATCAACAATACATGCATTACACATATATCTATACGCAGACACATACCATACAAACAACTTTCTACTTTGCAAAACATACATTCATCATTCAATCACACAATCATCATTCAGACATACATGCAAACATCCTGCACTCATACACACACGCATACACACACACATCACTCATACACATACATACATTCATACAAAAATCATGCATTCATAGATACAAACATCAAAAGAAGTAATATATTTGTCAAAATGCAGCAAAATCAATTGAAAGCTTTTAAAGAATGGATTCGCGTCAATGATCAAGATTTCGTATACTTACCTGAATCTAAATATTATTGTGAATCCATTATAAAGTCTTATGATTGTTGTAAAAAAAGTACAAATATATACAAAGATGTTATAAAAAATACCCGTAATTGTCAAATTTGTAGTTTATCACAGTTAAACATCAGAAATGTCATATTGTCCTCATTGTTGTCGGTAGTTTCCGGAGTTTTTCGTAGCAGATGAAAAACAAACGGGCTGGTTCTGTTTAGACGGAATAAACAGTGGTGTTGCAAAGAGATCACAATATGATGATGCCGCTTGATTTCGAACTTGAGATTTTTTAGTAGCGATATTCTGACGTTTCGTTGGTGGTTGAATAGAAAATGAGGATGAAGCTTTCCTTTTGCGGTTTTCAGTGACTACCGATATTGGTACAGATGTAGAAGTAAATACTGCTGGTACCCTTGATAATCTTCTATTTTCGTAAGCCGAGCAGACGACGAAACGCTGGTTTATATTGTCCCAGATGTTGCTAAAATTTACTTCACAGTCTGATTTCGATCTAATTAGTTCATTGGAAGGATCTGCTTTCTGTTTCGACGACAAGAAATTCAATTTGTTGTGAGATCTCTGGAGGAGTGAATTTGAAGAAACTGGAATCTGCTTAAAAGTATTTTGACGATGAACTGGTAAACATGGCGTATGACATGGTTTCTTTGTATTTGAGATTGTTTTTTTATGAAGCAATGGATAGGTTGTCTTAATTATATTGACGACCACCTCAGAACAATCATTTAATTTCATGGTTCTCGTTTTGACAGGCTGACTTTGATAAACACTTTTACTGAAACCAATTCTGCTTCTCCAATCGTCTTTAGCGGCCATGTTGTCAACGACATCAAGAACAGAATCTCCTTTCATCAACTGAGCAGCAATATCTGCTATATCACTATCTATTCCGGAAGTGATATCTAGTTGTGATATGTCGGACTTCCGGTGATGTTCACTGATTTCATGTGATGTACGATAATATGATTCTTCGTACCAATAAATGTCCTGTTGGTAAGAGTGGTCATCATCATAAGATTCACCATTACAGTGAGAAGCAAGACGGTCTGAATATTCTGTGTATAATGTACAGAAACCTGTATACATTGGAATCTGAAATAAAAAAAAACACTCAATAATTGATAATGAATAAAACCTATTTAAATTCAATTCAAAATTAGGTCACAATGTCAGTTTTGTTAAGAAATATGTTTAGTCTTCACACTTACATTAAAGTTTGTTAAAATATACAACGGTTTAAACTACGGTAATGGTTTTTGATACCCTAATAATGTATTAGTAGTGAAAATGACCAAACGGTCATTTGATTGAAGCAAATCTGGAAATCGTGCAATAGCTCACCCCATGCACCATTCCTCATTAATCATTGACCATTAAACGTTGTTATATGGGCATGTTCATATATCTAAAGCCCTTTTAACGATAATTTGATCAGGCCCTTCAATAAATGTGAAAAAATGTTACACTTGAGGTCAATTGAAAGTGTCCAACAAAATAGTTGGCTCTTGCATTCTTATAGATCTAAGATAATATGCATCCAAATGAATTGATGGGAAACCCTTGTTTGTTTTCACTCAAGTATGGCTTGAAATGCGGTCAAGTATTTATTCTTAAACGGTAACACATTCGACAAATATTTGGGAAAAAAAGGCATTTCTATACATGTTCTCAAATTTCTAAGCTTTCATGAAATATATAAAACAGGGGGAGATAAGCCACATTGAATTTTCCCATAAAAAATGTCCATCCATTACCTTCATGATTTACGTCTCGTAGATTATGTAATATTGGATTTTGTCAAAAGCGGATCAGGGCGACACAGATAAATCATAGGGAAGCAATCAGTTTTATGGTTTTCTGCAGCCAAGAAGCTAATGACAATGTTTTAGAATCTCGTACAATTGAAATAGAAAATGTCCATTTATTCGGAAATCAGAATATTTTTTTCTGGATTTTGATATTAAGATCGCTTATATAAGTCTGAAAATTAAACACAACAGTGTTAGAATTAGATTTTTATGCTGACAAATTTTTGTCCCTCAACGGGATTTGAACTCAAACCTTTGATACACTTCAGCACCAATCGCTTATCCTCATGTCCAGCGATCTAGACCACTCGACCACATCCGCTATATAAAAATATAACTTCAATAGTCGTAGTGTTACCTTTTCACGTAAGGCGAATCTAGAGATATACTATATATATATATGTTGTTTGTGCTGTATTTAGACCCCTTTACGAAGAAATTTGTTTTGCATGCACACGTATAAAAATTGCGGTTTTTATCCAACGAAATCATAGGTATGAACGTTGTTTTTAATTTAGACTTGTTTATTTGCCTTCGGGTTTATATGATCCGTTCATCCTATTTCGACTCTTCAAAATTCAAGTCTTCGGAATCCGGATATGGTGTACTAACTTTTGCACCTTTTGTTTGCGGTATACCATCTTTTCCGCAAGTTTATTGTTTTCTGTTTGATATTAAATTAATATTTTAGATCCATTTTGTTACATCTGGTGATTATTTTATTTGGCAATCGCCAATGGCAGTCAGCAGGGTTTAAGAACATCAGTTGTTCGACCTGTTAGTGTAATGCGTTTTGTTAAAATATACTTTTTGGTCTTTTGGAAAATGTTGTTTGTGCTGTATTTAGACCCCTCTACCAAGAAATTTGTTTTACATGCACACGTATAAAAATTGCGGTTTTTATCCAACGCAATCATAGGTTTGAACGTTGTTTTCAATTTAGACTTATTTATATTTTTTCGTTTGGGCTTGTATTATATTTTCCTTCGGGTTTATATGATCCGTTCATCCTATTTCGACTCTTTAAAATTCAAGAGTCTCTCCTAAATTGAGGTAAATAATATGGCCTCCAAATACCGTTTCGATCCCTAACATCACTGAAGAGACATTAATTGTCGAAATCCGGATATGGTGTACAAATTTTTGCACCTCATGTTTGCGATATACCATCTTTTCAGCAAGCTTATTGTTTTTTGTTTGGTATTAGATTATTCATTAAGATCCATATTACATCTGATGATTAATTTATTTGGCAATCGCCAATGGCAGTCAGCAGGGTTAACGAACATCAGTTGTTCGACCTGTTAGTCTAATGCGTTTTGTTAAAAATATACTTTTCACTTTTTGGTCTTTTGGAAAATGTTGTTTGTGCTGTATTTAGACCCCTCTACCAAGAAATTTGTTTTACATGCACACGTATAAAAACTGCGGTTTTTATCCAACGCAATCATAGGTTTGAAAGTTGTTTTTAATTATATATATATACAAGTCTAAATTAAATATATATATATGAATGAAAGGGGATGTGAGGGTACACGTCAACGAAACCGAAACTAAAAAAATAATCAAACAACAGTTTATTGATATCTGTAAAACAGTGTCAGTCCTCATTAAAATAAAACTTGTGTAGATAAGTATATGGTTTACGGTTAATTTCTTTTTTCAGTAAATCATATATCCAATTACCTGCATTTTCCTTTCAAACGCATCTCTCCATTGTTGTATATTATAGAATCCTGGTGCAACATGGTCACAAGTCTGAAAATAATGGAAGCAGACACGTTAATGCAAGATCTGACAAACATGATGCTGTCTGTATTCAGTTAGAATATGATTTGTTTTAAGTAAAAGAATAACACGTGTCGTGTAAAGAAGTAAACAGTAGGAACACAAAGATGTAAATTACAGTTCAGTTTTGAGTATTTTTAAAACGGATGTAGAAGGGATCTCTCGGGTAAGCATATACGTGTATATACGCACACAATAAAAAAAATCATTAAATAGATATGATAATATTACTTTCGACAAGATTTTTTCACCTTTTGGTTATATATTATCTATCATATATGATAATTAAAACAAAATACTAGTATGGGTTGGCATTCTCTACTTTTAATGTCGGTTAAAAGCTCAATTGAGCTTATATAGTATGTCCTTGTTTTGAGTATACTATGCCGACTATAAATAAAGCTTATTAATATTTTTTTATTTATTTTTCTTCAAAAAATGTAAGATATTAATTTTTGTTTACGATCTATGTACATACCTCCTGATTGTTTGGTTGTAGAGCTTGGGAAGTATTGGGAAGTTTCTTGGAATCGGCTACCTACAAAAATAAATTGATATACAATATACGTATATATACTTACAATATTTACACTTACTTATATTTTTCACATAACTTTAATTTTATAACGTAAGTAATACAGACAAAAGAACATTTGGTCACTGCACTAGGCGCACAAATAAAATACAAACAATTATATGCACATTTTAAGTTGTCCAGTGTTTTATTAACTTTTACGGTAATGTCTTTAACTCGCGTTTCTACATGGTAGACATTTATATAACATTTAAAAAAATGTGTTATCAATTATTTTTCATAAGTGTGTACCAATAATAACAGAAAGCAAGTAGTTGATAATAACAAACTGTAACCATATGCTGAGCCCACATGCATATGTAATGTGTAAATAGATTGTTTTTACTTTAGGTAAAGATTCTTACCAAATCTTTGTGATAATCTTTCACAGGCTCTCCCGAACCACCGGCGAATCTAACTAAATCTTGATGTTTTGTAGTCCCATTCAGCCATTCTACCGGTGCTGGTTTATCAGAAGAGGAATCTTGGACTTTACGTAAAGGACCAAACCTTGGTCTCTTTTCTTTGATCTGGAAAATATAGAGAATTTAAGAATGAGGTAGGTTTTAACAAATCAAGCAGTCTATTGTTGAAGACCGTAACACAATGTTGACCTCTAAATGTCTTGGGTTTTTTGTGTTGTTGGTTTTCTGTCTCATTTGCATATTACCCGCATCTCTTTTCATTAATATTCATTTAAATACATGTACAAGAATATTAGATTCAATATTTTTTCAGGTTCAGAGTTTGTTTGTCTTTCAAATAAACATGACATTGCTTGCTATGATTATCCAAATGGTTTGAGGTAGGCACATAGAGGTAGCACCTATGTGAGACCAATATGAAATAAGATGTGGTTTGTACTGATTGGGCGAAGTGAATAAAGCATTAAAACAAAGAATAAAGATATAAAAATTCAGCCCATTATATTGATTAACAAACGCTCGGCGTACAGTGGCAAATATTACATGCAGATTTAGGCCGATGACATGTTCTTAATACACTTTTGAGTTGACAAAGTACATTTTGTGTTAAAAAAATAAATGCATTTATAGTTTTGTTTTGTGTTTTTAAAAAGAGGAAAGGATATTTGGCCATGGAGAATATTTAAACAGTACATGCAAAAGCTTCTCGTGGTTATTTAAACCTACATAAAATTGAGAATGGAAACGGGGAATGCGCCAAAGAGACAACAACTCGACCAAAAAGCAGAAAACAGCCCAAGGCCACCAATGGGTCTTCAACACAGCGAGAAAAATCCCACACATGTTTGGTTCGACAAGCAGGAATTCTCTTGAACCATTTATAAGCGCTGTCGAAGTTTTATTAGGCTTCGATAAGTATTTTATCTTATATGACAAATTGATAGTAAATCACTGTTAATAATTTATATCTCTTCAATACTTTAGAAAAGAATTTTTTTTTTCCTTTCTGCATGAATAACGTGTAAATGATAGGAGCTGTCTTGCCTATACCCCCTGGTGGTTTTCTCGGAAAAAAATGTGTCCCTTCAATTATGTAAGAAAATCTACTACAATAAAGGTACAATTAGCAAGGGAACGCCTGTAAATTCTTTGCAGTTAAGATGGACGCAGAAATGGATGTCATCAAAACATACAAACCGTTAAATTCTCTGTAAAGTTTTTTTTTTTCTTTATTACTTTATTAATTTCAAGTAATCAACTTACTTGTAAAACTTCCCAATCTTTGAAAGTCAATAAATCTTGAAGTTTCTGCAACATTATTAAAATTTAGGAAAAATTCAGGAGCGAAAAATTGTGCGACTTTCAGTACGATCTTTTATCGCGTATCTATGTAGATACAGGGACAATGGGTGTGACGTCCGCGATATTCGACGTTATTTATCGACATTATGGGAGTTCAGCGGCAACTTTTTTTATAATTTTCTTTTCTTTCATGTTTTATATTTTGTGTTTCCTAGCTATCTTAATTTATAAAAGTGTACTGAGAAATTGATTAAATAACAATAAATTATAAGTTTTCTTACAGTTACAAAAAATGACAGAACAAATAGAATCAACTGTTACCTCATTACGTTAGCGTGAGTCTCATCCAACCGAAACATATCCTGAACATGATACAAGTGAAAATATTTTTGGCCGTCTATATAATTTCCGTTAAGTTGTAAGTAAGTTATGAGTTTTGAGTTTAGTTTTCTCCAGTTACATTTTGTGTTGTTCATTTTAGTTACTTAAACGTCACAATTGTGACTTCAACCAATCTACAATCCCGCCAGCTTTTGAAGCAAACATTACATCAAATGAAAGTTCAAAGATTATGACTTTCGACCTGCCGTTACAATGTAGTATCATTTACTGTAAGGTCGCGATGTACGACCGGCAATGTTTTAATTTACGTCACCACGGTTATTCGAAAACTTTGATGAAAACTGATATTTCTCTTTCCCTTTTAAAAGTCAATCGACCTAGCTCAAAGATTTTATCATCTGAATGGAACCACTGAACAAATTAGAACCAAACGGCTTGTATCTTAAAAAAATACGGATAGTGTAAAATTAAAAGCAGCATATCTACACTGAAATTTTCCAGAAAATCGGACAACCACACTTTGGATTTATTACCCATGTAATATGTTGTTTGAGCCACAACTGTTGCTATTACTATGATAAGTATGATAAATAGGGAGCACAAAAGTCCAGCAAGATATGATATCGACAAAAACTTCAACATGGCGGATATCTTCAGTCGACTCCTTATGCTGCCCTTCAATTACCTTTTTTTCAATCATATTTTCCGTATTTGTTTTTGTTATCATTGTGCGAACTGTAATAGATGGATCGAAACTGTGAATTGCGGTAAAAAAAAATTTAAAAAAAGCAAGTTATGATTCTCATATAGGGTCTTTGCATCGGCACTAAATACATTTATTTAAAAACCAGTTGTTGGCATGACACGGGTTATGTTCTTCTCATATATGTTATGATGGTATGATACTTAACCCCTAACGGGAAGGATTGTGCCTGATATTCATATGATGAAGACATAATCTTTCAATCAGTTTAATTGAAGTCTGGAGCTGGCATGTCAGTTAACTGCTAGTAGTCTGTTGTTATTTATGTATTATTGTCATTTTGTTTATTTTCTTTGGTCACATCTTCTGACATCAGACTCGGACTTCTCTTGAACTGAATTTTAATGTGCGTATTGTTATGCGTTTACTTTTCTACATTGGCTAGAGGTATAGGGGGAGGGTTGAGATCTCATAAACATGTTTAACCCCGCCGCATTTTTGCGCCTGGTCCAAGTCAGGAGCCTCTAGCCTTTGTTAGTCTTGTATTTTTTATAATTTTAGTTTCTTGTGTACAATTTGGAGTTTAGTATGGCGTTCATTATCACTGAACTAGTATATATATTTGTTTAGGGGCCAGCTGAAGGACGCCTCCGGGTGCGGGAATTTCTCGCTGCATTGAAGACCTGTTGGTGACCTTCTGCTGTTGTCTGTTCATTGATCGGGTTGTTGTCTCTTTGACACATTCCCCATTTCCATTCTCAATTTTATCAAATAGGAGAAATATTAATGAATTTGTAGATTGACATCTTATAGAAGTTTTTGAACCTACCCCTAAATAACAATTTTTTTTTTTAAATTTTAACGTTTGTTTTTTTTTTAATTTGCAATTATCGTGCGAACTCAAATCGATAATAATAATCAACAAGACAAGATTATCAAGAACACAAAGAGATCAAATTGTCAAATGACTCTGGTTGTTGTTCTCAAATGACTTTACCTTTTTTTTCATTTTTTTTTCAATTGGACTATGGTCTAGATCAAACCTGGTCACAATCCTAATTAATATGTTAACTACTACTGCCACTGTTGTTATTGATTTAACATACAGTATACTTCTTCAACTAAAATACAATTTTGTCAATGTGTAAATATTTCAGCAGTTTGACCAATTTTGTAATCAGCAATGATATTTGATCAACACCAGCTACCTTAGAATATTTCCATACAAAGTTTTGAGCAATTTTGATATAGTAGTTTGGTCAGTTTCATCCACAATCAAATTTCTCGATAATTTTTTAATTCTTTTCAATCTCGTTCAGGACAATTTTGATTATCATTTTTTTTTAATTTTGATAACAATTCTTCGAAACAAACATTTCCACTTAATAAAAAGTGTTTTCATACAGATGCCGTGAAAGAAATGCCTATTCAGCTGATTTTTATTGCAACGTTTTTTTTTCTGTATACGTTCTTCACCAGAAAATCATTATTTATAAATGTTGTCGTCATTGTCTGACTGACGTCTTGCGTAAACAAGATTTTTTGTTGTTTCCGCAGCTTTGCAAGATTCCTTAAATAACAAAGATATTTATGAATTGGTTATTCCAAAATGTAAAAAAGAGGCGGAATATACCAATTACTATAACGAAAGTCGAAAAAAAGACAAACAAGTTCTTAAGTGTCATAATAGAAAATATATGGCTAGCTTCCAAAGGAATATTGGGTAAATATTTCATACCAGGGCCATTTTCAAAAAGTCTTTCAATCTTTAGGTAAATTCACAGTATCACAAATTAATACGTGTACTTTGGGGTTCTAACAATATCATTGCTCATTTTTATACAGATCATTAAGTTAAAAACACTCGAAGTAGTTGTACTTTAGAAATTTAAGTATTTTAGTGAATAATCGTGCATCAGCGTATCTTATTGCATTTTAACTAAAAGTAAAAACATATTAGTATATATCCTTTTCCTCTTGAAGACATTTTACTATATTTCATGAAATACAAATAGTTACAGACATAAGAAGCATGTAATTCAGTGGTTGTCGTTTGATGCTGTTTATCATATTTGGTTTTCGTTTATTGTTGGTACATACATCAGGCCGTTAGATTTATCGTTTGAATTGTCTTGCATTTCAAGTGCTATTTCGGGGCCTATTATAGCTTGCCATGATGTATAAAGTTCCTTATTGTTGAAGGCCGTTCGGTGACAATAATAGTTGCTTACTATCGGCTACAGTGGTTTGGTTTGTTTAGTAAATGTTGATGAGGCAAGTTGTATTCTTATTTTCTGTTTTATCTCTAAATATTTTTGACGGAACTCAAGATATATAAGTTCTAGCGATCCATTGCAATAATGAATACAGTGGCTTGTATACAAAAATAGAACTTTGATAAATTATTACTAGTATACAACACATACAATCAGCTTCTGATTTTTTTCTCTCCAAAGCTGTATTTTGTACATTCGTGTTTTAAATTTTCTATTCTTACAATGAATTTAGCCAAGAACTCATATGTAGTGCTTACTGTATCAATTTTCTCTACACATAAATGTCCGATTATTTCACTCCAATCTTCTCTAGAAACTATGTTACTACAGACAGATATGCCTATAGTTACTAGCATTCTACTCAGCTCATTTAATTTACCTATATACTTTAATATAACACAAGGTACTTAACTCGTATATTTGAGAAATGTCATTCGGTCGCGAACTTCCGTTATATTTCGATTCTGAAGTTGTTTATCCCACTGAAACTTGTTATGTCGTAAATCTGCATAGAATTATCTATAAAATGGTGTATAACACGCCTATTTCTATTGTTGGAATCATTCGTAACAGGTCTTTCTAGTATGTCAACCGTAATTATATAATCTTCTCACAGACAAAGGAAGTGTTATATTTAAGTATATATGTATTTTTTTCAGAGACAAGTGCCTATGCCACTTCAGTTTAATTTATACCTTGTGTTTCATCTACTTGTAGGTCTTCTAATTTTCTAATAATTTATTACTCATTTTATTTTTGATCCATAATTTCTGTCTAAAATGTATCAAACTCATCCTATACACTACTATAGCTGCAAAATGTGTTGCAATAATTTCCGAATATATAAATAAGATGTGGTATGATTACCAATGAGACATCTCTCAAACAGAGACCAAATGACGTAGATGTTACTAACTATACGTCAACGTACGGCCTTCGACAATGAGCAAAAACCATGCCTCATAGCAAACTATAAAATGCCCCGAACTGACAATTGTTAAACAATTAAAAAAAAAACAACTAATGTATGTACAAAACAATTAACAAACAAAAAACAAATATGGTATACAGCAACAAACGACAACCACTATATTACAGGCTCCAGACTTATAACAGGAACTGGCCGGATTAAAAATGATTGCATGTGCCCAACTTTCTCATAACCTGGGACAGTGGTGTAACAGAAAAACATAAAATCAAACTATAAAAATCAGTTGAAAACTGTTTGACTCATCAGATTTGATACAAAGCACAATGACAAGTAACACAAACATTAAAGACACATATGGCAATTGCAAATATTTCATGCATATTGGGAATGGAGATTGATTATGTTGATTGGCCATTTTCAATAATGTATAGCAGCTGAGAACATGACCAGAGTTGCCCTAAGATGGACACCAGAGAGGAAAAGAAAAAGGACGCACCCCAAAAGAATTTGTCGAAAAACGGTTGAAGCTGAACTGCAGGACCACAGAATCAGCTGGGGCGATATAGAAAAGACCGCACAGAACAGAGATGAGCGAAAAGATCTAGTTCTTGCCCTAGATTGAGAATGCAACATAATCTGTAAATTCAGAAATTATTGCGGTGTTTTAATAATGCAAAAAATGCGACAGTATTAGGTTTGCAATAATAAAAACTACCATTTATAATTTCAATAGTGATTTTCCTTCGTACAGGTCAGTTGAGCAATAAAGGAATAGCTTAAAGGTAATGAAATTTGTTTTCCAACAAAATATATTGCCCTATTTCCTGTTTTAAAGTCTATAAGATAGAAATAGTGGAAAACCTTTTGAGCTTCCATCAAAAAAAAAATCTGCAATCAGTTTAGGGTCCAAGACCATTTTCAATTACATACAGGTACACACTATGAACTTTTTGGTAGAATTTCGTGAATTGAATTGATTATTTTGTTATTAGAAATGATGGCATGACAAAAACTCATTAAACATATCAAATTTCAGATATTGTCCTATTTCCACCGGCCTTCCAATGTTATATTACAAAACACAAGTATATAAAAGAATACAGAAGAATGTAAATATTACAAGTATCTAGAGTTACTTCCCTTTGCATACATCATGAAGCTAACAATAATGTACATCATCTGTGTTCTTACGTTGGTTTTATGTGGAGAAATGATCACGGGATCATGTGATGTTAAGCTAGGTAAATCATTTTACAGCTTTTGCTTAGAATATATACTTTTGAATTAACACGCACAGTACAAATTCTAAATCAAAAGTCACTGTGTTATTTTTTTCTTTCACTTTTTTCATTAATATGTCTTAATTTAGATAAGCAAAACAAACTAGTATAGTCCGTTTGACTTCTATAAATCTTCAGAAAATAATTCTTAAAAATTCATTTCTGCAAATAAACATTTTTTTCTTGATGTATGTTAATGTATGATATATACGAACTCTGACTATGAATATCATAATTCTAGGCCAATAATCAAAAAAGTTACCAATTAGGTCTCTATGTTACTTTAATTTTTTTTATATAAAATACTTGATGGAGTAAGTATGAATAGTGTAACAGCCTTCCATTCAAAACAAAAACATTAGACATGTGTTTTAAACCTGTTTCATTGTACCATGTGACTTAACTCATTTAAATATCAAAGGACACTATACATGTCATGAAAAATGACCATCATCTAAGTCTTTTTATAACTGGTTTTATATGATTTTATAAATGAATTTGCATGTATCTACAAAGATGTTATTTGTGGGGAAAAAAATATTATAATAATAAGATGTTTTATTTTGTTTTTATTCCTAACCAAATCTTAATTTTTGTTACCTTAATTTGATTAAATATTTACTAGAATACACCCGCGAAATCGCGGGCATTTAGAGCTTCGTTGAAAGTATGTAAACTGTTGTAGGACGAATTTCTGTAAATGATTACATGATGAGGCGGATTTAGAGGGTTTTTTCAGGGGCTCGGACCCCCCCCCCCCCCCCTTTTGTGGGAAAATTTGTTGATTATATAGGGAATCAATGATGCATGAAAATTTCTGGATCCGCCACTGTTATGTCTGGAGAATTTCAGAAAAGGTATCAAAAGTCATAGGTACTTGGAGACAGGACAATATTTTAAGCCCTCTCTTTTTTTTCCAAAGTCCGTTATTTTTTTTTATTTTTTTCTGTTGAATTCCATTATTTTCGCGTTTCTGTATACTATGAAGTCCTATGAACATACGTATATTATAAATAAAGTGTATGTGCTATTTACTATCAATTCCAAGTTTCTTCTCCACGGCGATCACTGCTATAATATATAGAGAGTCTCTATATATTATAGTAGTATACTAATAGTATAAATGCAGATAAACGCGATAATGATTGTCCTGTCCCCGAGGACTTATGAAAATTATTTGTAAGTTTAAATCCGGAAGTCTTGTTTATGACTTAAAAGTCGGTCTGATGACGGAAACAATATCCGGACGTCTTTATTTTCGTTTTTCTCCCAAAATAACCCAAACTGAATAATCATAAGAATAGATGACAAATGCGACTATGCAAGGTACCTGTAGGACACAGAGGCATGATGATTTATTTATTGTGGAATGAAAAGAAGCGACACACAAAATGAGGTCTTCTCTTTGAATAGTATAGATATACAGGCGGAAACCCAGTTGAAATAGAACAAAAGAATCAAAGCTCTTTGTTAGAGAAGGCGATAAATGCTTACTGTAATGTTTGCTATAGTAACAAAAATTTTAAAAGTTAATAGAAACAACTAAAATGACAGTTTTCGACTAAATTACGAAGTATTTTATCATAAAAACACCATTTGCAAACGTTTTCAATTTATCTATTACATAATTAAGCAGAACAATTAGATATCAAGTCGACGACATGGGTGTCTATTCAGTTGGATCTAAAAAATGCATAACCTCCGATTCTTAAATTTTTTTTTATCACGGACGTAGAACATATCAATGTATTTGTTACTTAATTTTCGTATCTGCCCTTCTATTATGTGACTCAAGAAAATATTCCAAAAAATGGGTAACACTTGCATCGAAAAGAGAAAATCGAGTGCACCTGTTTATGTTAGGGTGTGTTTGTGTTGAATATTTTGTCTTAAAAACGTATAAAGCAAGAGCGTTTGAAACATCATCTCGATTCAGATTCTATCATTTTTATATATCAAGGCTACAGGTTGACTTTATAACATCAAAAATTCACAGTACTAAAAAATGCAATATATGGGTCAAGCGAAATACCTTTCTGATGAATCACAAAAAGAGTAGGTGTGTTCGAATAGCAAATTTTTACTAAAAGTACTTGACGACAGACTTTTAAGTTGGATCTTAAAAATGCATATCTTCGAAAAAACTTCATTTTTTGTGTGTGATAATTAGGGTTTATAGTCTTCAACCACTGAAAATTTTTAGTCTGCCCTTCCACGAAATATTTAATTAGAATTGTTTTTAAATGTTTATGAATTTTCTAAAATTCCACCTGACAACCGATCAGATAATAGTTTTAAGTTGACTGCATGCAGACAAGTACATTAACTGATGTTCATTAGCTAGTAGATACATTTGTCTTTTAAAATGCAACTGGCATATAAGGATCGTAATGGTGCTATGTGGATAAATTTATCAGTTTTCAAGAGCTAAATTGGCAGCGCGTCATCCCTACAATGGCTTCCATTTTTACGATTGTAAAAATGAACTGGCGTAATGGGGAGATAATTTTGACGAAGTAGAATCCTGACTGTATATATCTTGTAAAAGAATATAAGCAAGCTTTTCATGATTAAAGCATGATGACAGTAATAACAAAATGGAGAGCCTCTAAAAAGTTTCACCAATAAGTATTAGAGAATACATTTAATATTTACTTTTTTCTTGAAAAAACACAGCTTATGAATTTCAAAATATGAAAATAAAATTAGATAAAATATAACCATAAAGACCTTTACTGATGAAAAGGGGAACTTTTTAATAACATTTCTAAACTGAATTTTGCATAAAACTACTTTGTAGTTTTTAAAAATGTTATACTAGTAATGTCCAGTGGAAAATATTACTAAGGTTACTCATAGAAATTGAACAATGAACAATACAAACTCATGTATACAATATGTTCAGTAATCACATGACATAAAACTTAAATGAAGTCCAAGTTTGTTTGCTGGTCAGCATTATTTAAATGAGAAAAGTCACATGGTATAATGAAACAGGTTTAAAGCACATGTCTTATGTTTTTGTTTTGAATGGAAGGTTGTTACACTATTCATACTTACTCCATCAAGTATTTTATACAATAAAATAGGAGTAACATAGAGACCTAATGGGTAACTTTTTTGATTATTGGCCTAAAATTATGATATTCATAGTCAGAGTTCGTATATATCATACATTAACATACATCAAGAAAAAAAATGTTTTTTTGTAAAAATGAATTTTTAAGAATTATTTTCTGAAGATTTATAGAAGTCAAACGGACTATAAAAAAAACCATTCAAATGTTTTCGCTTCAACTTGTTTCCGATGTTACAAGGTAATGAGGGCATATAAGGAAGTTAAATATTTTTGTGCATGAAAATATTAAAGTTGCTTGCATTAAAAATAACAATAAAAGAGGGTCGAAAGATACCAGAGGGACATTCAAACTCATATGCCGTAAATAAACAGACAACGTTATGGCTAAAAAAGAAAAAGACCAATAGACAAACAATAGTACACAAAACACAACATAGAAAACTAAAGACTGAGCAACACGAACCCCACCAAAAACTGGGGGTAATCTCAGGTGCTCCTGAAGGGTAAGCAGATCCTGTTCCACATGTGGCACCCGTCGTGTTGCTAATTTTATTACAAACTCTGTAATAAGTCTAATTCGGTAGGTCACATTCGGGAAAAGGGTAAGGATGGTAGTTACGACATTAGAAACATATCAGTGTTCAATACTTTAACAAATTTTAATACTTGACAGTGAACTTGTAGACAAAAGCTTAATCAAAGTACGAATTTTTACATTCGTTTTATTTCAGAAGGTTCCCTCCTGAAAGATGTAGTTGAAATGTTGTTAAAGAAAGATTCAGGTAAGATTCAAATATTTGATTAAGCAAACCAGTTAAGTAATTAGTAGCCTGTATCACTCACCTGGCAAGAAATGCATAACTGTTATTAATTGCCACTTTTTCAGTGATGTTATTTTATTTTTTCAAAGCAGTAACAATTTATTTATTTCTTAACATATTCTGCTTTTCAAGTGTTTTCAGATAGAATATTGCAGAAAATGAGTTTCCAGTAGATCTTGACTTTTTAAAATGTGCTGCCCCTGTTTGATGTTTCCTATCTGCATGCTTCAGTTTTCAGTTTTTAGACAATTATTTTCTATATTCAGTGATGACAGTTACATTGATAAATGGACTGCTATATAATTTGTAAACTAAAATAAGAACACATCAAGGAATCAAGTTTGCTTTAAATTGGTTGAGCAGTTTCAAATATCAATATCTTTAAAACAAGAATGCAAATAATGGATAAAAAGGGCAATAACTCCAAATAAGTTTATTGTTGGTGGCAGTTTCAGTTAAATCTTCTTAATAAAACATCTAATATTTAAACAATTTGAAAACTTCAAAGGTCTGATATTCCGTTTGAAACTAAAGGAATGCTAATGAAACAGCAAAAAAAAGTCCTTTGTCAAAAAACTTTTGTAAACACCTACCAATAAACATTTGAACATACAAAATTAGCTTACTGGGAACAAAGATTTTTTTCATTTACTATGACATGTGATCATTCTAGATAACATACTTATATTGGATTTAGTTATTGAGTAATTACTCCAATCAATATTTAACTATTATATGCTTTATTTTTGCAAATAAAGGCTGTGCAATGTTCAATAGGAAGAAAATTCCTGCCTTTTCAGCTGCCTTAACAAAGTCACAATCACTTTCAACAAATGAGATAATAAAGTTCGCCAAAGTTTTTACTAACAAATTAAATGGCTACAACCCAAGCACTGGTATATTTACTGCACTTATTGCTGGAGTATATCAATTTTCTTCAGTGGTTATGAGTGAAGTTGGAAAATATATGGTTGCCAGTCTTTCGTACAATAATACCAGAGTATCCAGTGTGTATCTTAAAGGTTCTTCTCACCAGACAGGGACACTCAGTATGATATTGGATGTACAGAAAGGGGATCAAATTGCTGTAAAGTCTGATTCCAGTTACACTGTTTATAGCGGCAACATGCATTACAGCACATTTTCTGGTAATCTAATTCCTCAATAAATGATAATAAAATTTTCATTGATTTTGATTTATCATTATAATCAGATTAGGATCTGATTCTGGTTGTGTCTTCTTGTTCTTGCTTGTTGTTGATTGATGGCTTTTTGGTCATCATAAACATAATATTCCAAACAATTTTAAAATGAGTGCCCAAGTTACAGATTAAGGTCAAGTCAAACTTCGGAAATTAACAGAAGGTTCCTTAGAAATTCTAAGTTTTGGCATAAATATAATGCATGTTTGTACATATAAAAAACATCTGAATTTGAAATAACATTTAGGTACTGTGCCCAAGATGCACAACTACATATGGTATTAAATATTCTTCAGCTGTTGCCTCCATATCTTTACATTGGGTTTAATTTTATGTTCTTCCGCATTTTTTTAGGACAAAGTTTTTAAAGAAATAGCTGACTAGCTTTGATAGATGTCAATAACTCTTAGTCAATAGACAACTAATGTATATTACATGAAAGAAAGCAGTTGACTCTAGTTCATTATCGATATAAGGCCAACTTTGATATCAACAAATGTATCTTAAATAATACCAGTAGCTGACAAACATTGATAGAAGAAAAGAGTAAGGGCATTAAGGCCCTTTTTTTGTCATAGAATAGAAAAATTAAGTTATTGAGAACTTTTTCAAATTTGTACATTTTTTTTTGTAAATGCATCAGATCAAGAAATATAAATAAATTACACAAGAGTTTTTATGTTCGGACACCAAAATTAATCATTACATAGACCCTTTTGTAGAGAAAGATGAAAACTGTGCAGTATTTATTGAGTATTCAATCCATATATATTCTGTGTGGAAACATCGTGCAAAGCCAAGAAACAACAAAATAATTTTTACAGAAGCTTTATAATAGCTACTTACATAATCTCACCAAATTAAAATGGCTGCCGTTACCCTTGCAATTGGAGTACGAGTGTACCATCCGCTATAGCTCGCAATTGCAAATCTAGTTTATAAATGTTGTCGTCATTGTCTGACTGACTTGTTGCGTAAACAAGATTTGTTGTTGTTTCCGAACCTTTATAATATTCTTTAAATAAAAAAATATTTAATGAATTGGTTATTCCAAATTGTAAAAAAGAGACGGAAGATACCAATTACTATAACGAAAGTCTGCGAAAAGACAAACAATTCTATATACGTATCATAATAGAAAATATATGGCTAGCTTCCAATAGAATATAGGACCAATTTATATCCTAAATATATTTCACATCAGGGCCATTTTCAAAAAGTCTTTCAATCTTTACATAAATTCACAGAATCACAAATTCATACGTGTACTTTGAGGTTCTAATAATATCATTGCTCATTTTTATAAAGCTCATTAAGTTATAAGCACCCGAAGTAGTTGTTCTGTAGAAATTTATGTATTTTAGTGAATAATTGTGAATCAGCGTATCACATTTAACTAAAAATATAATGTATCCTTTGCACAGTGCGACAAAAAGTTGCAATGTTTAGCTTGCAATTCGGACACCTTTGACTTTAATAACTAATAAACCGAGAAACACTTTCACCAGATATTGACTATATAAATACGAAGATGTGGTATGAGTGTCAATGAGAACTCTCCATCCAAGTCACAATGTGTAAAATGTAAACAATTATAGGTCAAAGTATGGCCTTCAACACGGAGCCTTGGCTCACTCCGAACAGCAAGCTATAAAGGGCCCCAAAAATGACTAGTGTAAAACCATTCACACAGGAAAACCAACGGTTTAATCTATATAAAAAACGAGAAACGAGAAACACTTATGAACCACATCAACAAACGACAACCACTGAACAACAGGTTCCTGACTTAAGACAGTTGGAAATAAATGCAGAGGGTTTAAACGTTTTAACAGGCGCCAACCTTGCATTCCTGTATGATGAGAACATTTGAAGTAGTTCTCGGAAACTTCCAGTTCCTTGGGTAAAAAACCAGTCTTAACACCCCCTTTCTCCTTTAACTGTAGAGAAACTCGAGAAATAATGTAGGCTAATCTTTCTTTAATTGTATTGTACCTTTATACCACTACTATAGCTAATATAATTCTGTCATATACATAATTCACATCATTTTTACAGTTTTTAAAGAAATAACGGCTAACAAACTCAAATGAACTAGCATGTTAAAAGTATTGAAATGTACAATCTGTTGTGACTGTAGCACGATACTTCTCCGCTCAAATTAGTTGAAAGGTTTTCATCATGCCAATTATTTTAGCAAAATTAATTAGAATTTAATCAAAATCTTAGCTTTACTATCGAGAGAGTAGAAACATTGTATTTTAAACATTTTTTTAGTAGAGAACAACAGAAATAAGAGAAGTACTATTTAAGTTTATGAACCACATCAATAAACGACAACCACTGTGCATACCAACTTTCAGAATGTCACTAATAGATTTTTTAACCTGTATCCTTGAAATCAGCAGTCTTTTTTTATTTGTATAAAGTTTGGTTCATTTATCAATGTGACAATAGTTTCAAGGAAGAAATAAACATGGACGATGTTAATTGCTTATGATGTTTTCTTTTATTCTTAATATTCCTTTTGAAGACATTTTACAATATTTCATGAAATACAAATAATTACAGGACATAAACATGATAAAGAGCCTGTACTTCAGTGGTTGTCGTTTGTTGCTGGTTATATCTGTTTTTCGTTTATTGTTTTACATATATCAGGCTGTTAGATTTATCGTTTGAATTATTTTGAATTTCAAGTTTTATTTCATGGGTCTTTTATAGCTTGATATGCGGTGTGGGAGTTGCTCGTTGTTGAAGGCCGTACGTTGACCTATAGCAGTTGCTTACTATGCTACAGTGGTTTAGTTTGTTTAGTAAATGTTCATGAGGCAAGTCGTATTCTCTTTCACTGTTTTATCTCTAAATATTTTTGACAGAACACAAGAGAGATGGGTTCTTGTGATCCATTACAATAACGAATATGTTCCTGGTATAAAAAATAGAACTTTGACAATTACTAGTATACGAATCCGGGTCCGTTCGCTTAAAATCGCGTTCGCTCTCTGGGTCCGTTCGCACTCTTTATATTGGTTTTGTTTTAAATATTTTTTTTATCGTGTTCTAGTTAGTGTATTGCTATAAATAAGTTTTTTATTGTTACAAAATAAAGTGACATTCTAAAAACATAAACAGGTTTCCTACTGCATGAACTTTAACCGTACACAATCATTCAAATCATGAAATATTTCATTTAAATAACAGCACTAAAATGTTTAGAGTAACTACTTTATAAAACTTAAAAGTGCACTAAAATATTAAAAAAAAAAAACAACCCTGAAACATTACATTATATACCATTCACACACCAATGCTATATAATATGCACTAATATAAATACAGTTTATTTAAGAATTAATGTATTAAATTTAAATAACAGTCATAATTGCAATTGCAATAAAAAATCAAAGTCTACTGGCGGAAAATCGTCAACTGGTTTGTCTGATGGTCTATAGTCTTCATCAAATTCCTCCAAAATATTTCATTTTCAAATACTCGAATTTTTATTAATGAAAATATAAATGTGTTCATTTATACATTTAAAAAAACATCTAATAATTCAATCGGTATTTGAATAAAAATGGGGTGCGAACGGACCTAAGGGGCGAACATGTGGGCTGCGAACGTGTAGGGAGAAAACGGACCTGATACCCTAGTATACAAGACATACAATCGACTTCTGATTATTCTCTCTCAGTCCTAAAATTGCATTTATGCATTTGTGTTTAAAATTTTCTATTTTTACAACGAATTCAGCAA